ACTTCTTTTGAGCTGTTACATAGTTTTGGGTGCATAACAAGTAAAAACCTATTACATTGACTTGGGTTTTGACTGATAGGATAGGGCCGTGGTGGTGAACCTATGGCATGCGTGCCACAGGTGGCACGCAGAGCCCTCTCTGTGGGCACGCACGCCATCACCCCAGTCCTAGGCCTTCAGCTGAATATTATAAAATCTTTTCACTTTAGGCCTCCGCTGCTGTTTGCAAAAAAAAAAAAAGGTTCAATCAATTTCAATTTCTTGCAGGAAAAAAAAAGATCTCGCAAAATTGAAATTGATTGAACTGTTTAGTCCCACCCAGTCTGCTGTTACCACCACAGCCACGCCCACCCAATGGGCCACACCTGTCCAGTGGGCCACGCCCACCCGGCACCCGATGATACATAAGTGGGTTTTGGGTTGCAGTTTGGGCACTCGGTCTCTAAAAGGTTCGCCATCACTGGGATAGGGTTATGCACCAAAAACTGAGGGAGGCAAGACCAAGTAGTATGTGCAGCCAGGACAAATTCTGATTTCATTTACATTTAACTGAAATTACAATTAGCATGTTTATGTATATTTAACAATTTTCCAATTATGTCATAAACATTTACAATTTAGTAGTAATTTTAATGGAATTTAATGGGATTCCAAGGAACCCTAAGACTTTAGGTCATGCACCTCTATCTAAACACAATAAATGAATGTGCATATAATCTGTTAGTTATATTATATGAACACCAAGCCCCATAGCTTGTTCAGAAGCAGCCCTGGCTTAGCCCTGTATATGAACATCATTTAGAGTGATTCCAGGTGGCCAAACCCCAACAGCCACAATAAAGAAATTCTGGATTGTTCCTTTTTGTTTGATTTGTATTTATTGATTTTTTTTTTAGAACATAAAACTGTGTACATAATGGTCCGAAAGTCACCCAGTCAATTTCATGCATAAAGGAATAGAATTCACATTCTCTTCATTTCTAGTCTGGCCAGCTCTTAATAGAATGTATTCAGTAGAGAAAAAGATGGGAAGGAAGCCCACAGAAAAATATGAATTACCAATAGAAGAAAAAGCTATTTGTACCATCCATAAAATATCGTGAATAAAACAAGGAAACTGTACACAACCCCCACCCCAAAGAGCCTGATATTGCTACCTTCTTTTATTCAGGGATGTTCAGGGATAATGCAGATGTAAATTGCAATACTTAACCCAAGTGAACACAACGCTGATTTTTTTTTCCATTTTATTTCTCAACACCAGTTATAAAAGAAATCCTGTTTAGGGTTATCTTTTTTAAGTTTGGCCAATGGTAATTGGTGGCGTACATTCCTAGAAATTTACTACTCAATTGTTTCTCTCAATTGGATTGAAAATAAGCCAGAGTGTAATTACAGAATCAAAGCAGAAGTGGCACCATGATTGCTATAATTAGGAAGCCAAATTGCCTAGTGAAGTGGCTCTTGAAACCTGAGCCTGTGGCTGAGGAAGAGGAGGAAAAGGAGAAAATAAGATAAGAAAATAAGGCAGCAGAAAGAGAGGCTTTTCCTCAGGCAAAATGTTTTGCACATGGCATACGGATTCCATACACTCTTTAAATGTAAAAAAAATGACAAATTATGCCTTGGTTAAAGTTTTCAAGGAAGGAAAAACATGGGAAAATAAGGGATTTCCAAAATATATTAAAGCCATACATAATTTATTATATATATATATATATCTGAAAAATAAAAGAGCAAAAGGTATTTTCTATTCCCACAGAATTAAAGAAAATATTCGGAGATTTTAAGCAGCCGCATCCAAAATGCTTGGTAGGCTTAAACACAATGAAAGAAAATGTCTTTTCACACACTGCTAAAGTCTTACCCTACAAAATGTATCACCTTTTGTGCAGTATTCCCTCATCTCGAGAGATAAAGGTAGAGCTATCTGGCCATTCTCCACCAACTGACACCTTTGTCAATTTAATCTATTTAAATGGATTCTCTGAAGAAAGGGACAAAGGATTCTCCAAACAGCTCTCCCACACTAGCATAGATCTACCGTATTACCCTAAAGAAGCACGAACCAGTTCCCTCCCCTTCCAGATTTAGAAGACTGGACATTGTCTTTTGCTCTTGTACCAAAATGTACACTGAAGCAGACTGTGGAATCTGTCTCTTCCACAGGAACTCCTTCAAAATTCTAGCCATAAGAACAATGATTCTGCAGGCCTTCTCATGATTGATATTTACACTACACACAGTAACAACATGCAGAAAGAACAGCTCAGATAATTCTCACTCTAACCAATTCCACCCCACTAAAACGCTTACACGTTCCACTCCAGTTTACTGGATATAGATCTCATCTTCACATAGAAGAAAGGCCCAGTTCCACATATCTGCATGATTAATGAATGACAAGAGTTATGAAAGAATGTCCCCAAACCTGAGTGGGTGAGAAAGAATGGTAACGTATATAATATAGATATTGTAAATTCTAGCTTTGAAGTCAACTCATTCCCTTTACCCAGAAATCATTCCTGCATTTACTGGCATACTGTGTTCTTGTGTGGGACAATAAGTCTTGCTTGACTTGTAGAGATAAGTTGCTTTAAGTCAGGACTGCACAAACTGGCCTGCCAGAGAACTGCTCTCTGGGCCAAGAAAAAAACTGATAATTTTAGTTCTGCCTATTCCCCCAAATGGACATTACAATTTGGTAATAATTTTTAATTAGCTCTTAAGCTACCTGCAAAGCCAGGGCTTCAGATTGTGAATCTCTGGCTAAGTTAAGGAAAGATTGCACTTAGTGGGACTAGATAAATTTTTATCATAAGAGTTTTTCTTTTGTCTGACAGACCAACATTCTCAGGCCAAAATTACATCCTGAATTCCAATTATAATAAGATAAACTTATGTATGTGTCAAAAAGTCATCACTACCAAGAATCTGAAGAAAAAAAGAACATGTAGGAAGTGTGAACCATTTGAAGTGGCCTTTCCTGAATTTTATCCAGATTATCACATTTGGCTTTTTATAGAAAGCTACCAATACATCTTGCTCAGTAAAACTGACTCACTTCCAACATGAAGTGTTTGTCCTTATAGTTATGAAGATAACCCTTGTTTCAAGTAAAAACAAAACTTTGTGTGCAAATGTAATACAGGTTGTTAAAACACATTTTCTAAACTGTGTAAGTCATCCAGAGAGACTTCTGTACTATTAGAACAACTATCCTGGTGAGTGTTAATCCACCATTTCAGGTAAGAGATTCCCTCAAAATGTATTATGATTTATTAAGCATGTTCAGCTTTTAACGGAAAGATGGAAAAGAATAAATAAACTGAAATGCACAATTCCTTCTATACTTGGATGAAAAACCTCTTTCAAAATTATCAATAGTTATGATAATGCAGAGATCCCACAACCACTTCTGGTTTGGTACCACATCAATCAGATTTCTCAAAACATGTTTTGAGAAAGACAGGTTATCTCCCACTTCACCCCACTCTATATTAGTTATCAAGGCTGCAACTTGCTTATTTTCCAATTGGCCCCATTAGCTACGAGGACTAGTCAACAATAAATAAGTACTGACAAAAGAAACAGAAAAAAACAACCCCTAAGATCAGGACTGAAAGAATTTAAAGTATTATCTGCTTGAGTATCATCAAGAATTTAAAGTATCATCATCAGAAATGAGACAAAACTATTTTTTTACAGTTAAACCAAATACACTAGAATGCCAAAGAACTGTTCGTTTCCCAAAATTTCTGTAGCAAAATGTTTGAACCAAGCACAATTGAAACCGTATTAAAATATGCATTTAACTTCCATCTATTTACATTATACACTGGAAAAATAAACAATCCCTCACCCCAACTCTATCTACCTGTAAAAAAATGTAATTAGGTGGAAAGCAGGCAAAGTCAACAGCGTGAACTGTCAAGATGCAACAGCCTCCCAGCTGTTCATTTCACTTCCTAACTTCATGAAACCAATGGCCATCAAGGCAAAGCAAGAAATGACACATATCTTTCTGGCAAAACCTGTAGGATTTTAGGCATAAACGAAGTTACCACAGGGGAATATTATCCCAGAGGCAGAAAAACAAGAATGTGTAGAAGCTGGGTTACTAACCGGCAAGAAACATAGGGCAATCAATTTTAGTCCACCTCAGATGGGTAGCAAACTAGTGCTATCTACAACTAAGCAGGGAAAAATATCCTATTTCATGCTAACAGACTACATGGTAGGTCCATCCTTCTTACGATGACTTAGGAAAGAGATAGGGCTCTGGCTCTACCAAACACATTTATTTGCCATCTCAGCTGGAGAACTGCCAGAGACAAGCATGACCTTTATGAGTAGCAGCTCTTTGCAAATGCAGATACAAGAAAATGGTTATCATCACATTTATGCTTTTCATCAGATGGCTATGGAAGGATTGCCTATTGATGTTCTAAAGATTTCAGTGCGGCAGCAAGAAGGGATGACATTTGAAATAACAATTCCTACATTAATTTGTTCCTCTATTAGGTTATACCCACTTTCTCCAGCCCATAGTTTTCATTGTGTAGAAAAATCCAGGAAATATTAATAAGCCTCTAATGTAAGCAAGCATTGATCATAAAATAAGAGGTATTTTGCTGTTTTAATGTCTGTTGCTTTTTCATGTAATTGTATATCACCATTATACTATTCACAATGTTGAGGTAAGCAAAAGGATACTTTAATTGAAAAAAGTTAGAAATCTCTAGCTACTGTTATAACACAACCCTTACATTAGCTTCCTGCATGATTTTGTTTGAAGTGTCCTAAAGATTTGCTAAATTTAATTCTTACTCTTAAATAGATAAAATATCCTTTGGTTCCTATTATTCTTTCTACAACATTCTACCATTTCAATCACACCTCAGTTAACCATACAGGAAGGTTTGGGTATATGTAAACCAGAATAAATGGAAAGCACTTCTGGTTTTGTAGTAGCCTTTTAATGCAACTCCAGTCCTAAACATATTTATTTGGAAGTCATATTAATTTTGTTGGGCCTTATTTCCAAGTAAATCATTTTAGGATTGCAATCCAAGCTTATTACCAGGTTACAAAACGATCTAGAAAACCAGCATGGCATACAGAGAGCAGTATTTTGTTTGCTCCTGTTCATAAATATAACCACACACTCACAAATATAACTAAATCCAAACTGAAGCTATAGCTGTTTAGTCTATTAGTACGGGAAATATTATCTCCTAGGAAACAGGTGTCATCCACCCAATTAACACCTTCTTTGAGTAGATGCCTTTTCTTCCATCTGATTCCCAATATAGCTAGCAGGGACTCAGAACCTGCACCATATAATACAGCAACGGAAATAACACACCTACTTCTCTTTGCTAGAATTAGATTGAAGTGGAGCATCCACAGAGGACAGAGCTGTCTGGCTCTGCAAGATTAGATTGAGGAAACTGAGAATGAATATATCATGCATAGCCAAACTGAGGAAGCTGCATAGGCATCTGCACCTGTGCTGAAAACTCGTTTGAAAATCTTTCAGATTTCAGACAATTACAACAGGAAAAAAGATGTTTAGGAAACATGAAAGCAATATTTTTTCTCTCTCTCAAAACGGAACAAAAGAGATATTAATATTCAATAGTATTTATCAATCTCAATAATGCTGAGTGTGACTCATCTAAAGTTTGATTCAATCTGAGGCACGAGTTGGGAAAACATCCGTGTTCAAAATAGTTTTTCTCTTTTCCTGCTTTTTCTCTTTCAAAACTGAGATAAACCTGGATTAGTGCTTACGCACTATAGACTTTCACACCCAACTTTGTCCCAGAAGCTGAGAATTTTGTGGCACTACTACTGTATATAACACATCTTATTTCCAGTTTCTATTCCTGTTAATCAAACTGTATCCTTATGCACTAGATAGCTTTCTGTCCTTTTCTCTTCCCATCTACACAACTAGGAATTCACTTTTTCCTCTTAGAAGCTAGTAAGAAAATGATGTTACTTTGCCATTCTGGGACAAGGATAGCGGACATAGCTAAAAAAGCTGCCATTTTAATTTTGGAACAGAATAGTTGGCCATGACTAGTGAACAGCAGTATTGGCACTGATACTGATATTTTGCCACAAGAGGCCCAGATCAAGCTGTGCTGCCACTCTATACTTATTTAGCAATCAATAACCAAAGCAGCCCCAAAGATGTAGGAAAGCCATTGTCAGTTACATGCTGCCACCTGGAGGAAAAAGGAAAAACGGCTGGTTATAAGTTACAAAACAATTTTATCTCCTCTATGCCTGGTTGACTGAAGATCGGGAACATTATCTTTGGGCACATGTATTAGCTCTGTGTCTTGAAAGGTTTTCCTTTTATAAATCATCATTGCAGCAACTCCTCCCAGCAGATCGGTCTAGAAAAAACTTCCCTTTCTAGCCACAAGTCATAATTCATTTGGAAATCTTCAGGCAGTTCCACCCGCTGGCCCAACACACTTTGCAAACAGTTGTCAACAGGTAGAAAATCAGGGTTGCTATGTGCCCGGTCATAGCGTCGAGAGTTGAAGCGTTCTATACTGGCCCGCAGAGCACACTCCTCAGCTTGGAAGTCCCATGGACGTGCATCCAGATCTGTGGAGGTCATGAGGCAGACAATCAATGAATGCGGTTCACTGAAAACAGCTACACTGCCACTTTAGAAATGTTCAGATAGCTCATCAAGAAAACTCAGCCATTCGGTGAATAAGAGTGACACAATCACATACAACTCAAATTGTCCCTAAACAGCTCAGCTGAGATGCAGCAGTGGGTTACAAGCCTGTCAAAGGTGGCTTATGTGAGTGATAGAAGAGGAAAAGTCCAGAAAAACTGGAATGAAAGCTACTGCAATTATTCCTTTCTCCTTTTGGATCTTCAACTGAAAGAAGACCAGGAATAAGCACACTAACTTTCAAACACCAAGAATAAGTATACTAACTTTCAAACACAATGTAACTGAAAAAGATTGACATGACAGAGTACTGTAGGATTTCTCTCTAAATAATTTGTAAAAGACAGGTTTTCTCGGAGCTGAATCTTTTCATTCCGTACAGGTAGTCCTTGACTTATGAACAAAATTAAGCACCGAATTTCCATTGCTAAGCAAGACAGTTAAGGCAGCTGCACCCCATTTTATGACCTTTTTGCCAGTTAAGTGAATAACTGCAGTTATTAAGTGAATTTGACCTCCCTCCCCATTGACTTTGTCAGAAGTCAGCTGGGAAGGTTACATATAGTGATCCTATGACCATAGGACAGTGCATCTGTCATAAATACATGCCGGTTGCCAAACGCCCATATTTGGATCATGTGACTATGGGAATGCTGCAATTGTCTAAGTGTGAAAACGAGTCATAAGTCACTTTTTTCAGTGCCATTGTAACTTTGTATGGTCACTAAATGAATGGTTTTAAGTTGAAGACTATGAGTATTGTGGAATGATAAATTACAACTTTAATCATGTTCATTTTTTTAGTGTCTGCTATGTGGCCCCCTGTAATTAAATACTATTCTATGGGGAAGAGGTGTATCTATCACCGATATGCTGCATTGTGAAAGTAGAGCTCTCCCAGAATATGATCCTTTGGAATAGCGCTTTGTCCCAGTTCCTCTACTAGTTAACCTAGTTGTAGTAGTCTATGCTTCTGTATTTGAAGCTCCAGCTTTTTGTCCATTTCCATGAAGAATACATTTAAGAAGCGTTAGATATTTTCAGACCTGTACACCAGTCATCAAAGCATCAACAGTATTTACAACACAGACTCATAGCCTAAATACATGTAGCCCTCGACTTACAACCATTTAACAAGAGTTCAAAGTTACAACAACCTCAGAAAAAGTGGCTTACGACCTGTATTTGCACTTATGACCACTGAATCACTTCCACAATGATGTGATCGCAATTTGGTGCGTGGCAATTGCTTTGCATTTATGACTGGTTGCAGCTTCCTGTGATCACACATGATCATAATTTGCAACCTTTTTTTGCCAATTTCTGGCAAAAATGCCCATTAGGGAAACTGGATTCACTTAATGACCACATGATTCATTCAATGGCCATGTGATTTGCTTAACCATTGTAGTGATTGCTTAATGACCGCTGTAAAAATTGTTGTAAAATTGTGTCTAACTCAGTTTATGATGGTAATAATTTTAGATGGAAATTCCAGTGACAATTGTGGTTATAAATTGAGAATTACCTGTAGAGGTTCTTTCATTACAGTTTCTTGCTGATCACAACTAAATATTATTGATAGAAGAGTTCCAAAATGCTATCATATAGGCTCCCAATATTATTTATTTAAAAGACTTCCAACACTAAAGATACTCACGAAATATTATTACTAGGGATAAAATGCACATTTCCTTATTTATGACATCTCATACTGTATGTAGCATGCCACCATTTTTCAACAACAATAATAGTTGCTGCTGCAAGAAGATCACACAGACCGACTACAAACAATGGCATGACAAAGTAGCACTGGGATATCTGCAAGCAACAACTGGTGGGACCACTAGACAATAGACAAAGTAATAGCAAATGAAAATGCTAAAGTGCTCTGGGACTTAAGAATTCAAACAGACAAGCATCTGCCATATAACACCTCAGATTTAACAAATGTTAATAAAAAAGACAAAAAAGTCTGGTTAATGAACATGAAAATATCTAGAGACAGCAGAATTGAAAAGAAAGAACTGGAGAAAATGGCAAAATACAAGTAAAATAACAGTGGCAAAAGAAAGCAAAGATAGTACCAATAATTGAATGCAATCCCAAAACATCTGTAGCACCACTGGAACACCATAGGGATTGATAAAAATTACTTGAAATGACTTACATCTTGCAACAGTATCTTCAATACCATCAAACGATAACATTTATCTATCCCGGGTCCTTGGGAAAGACTTGATAGGTGGGTAAAAGTGCCAAATCCAATCTAAACATCTGGCTCCCTGGCAACCAACTATATGACCTACATGGGCTTTTAAATTTTGCTCTTCATAAGTAACTTAACTGCAAAATTGATTTTCATTGATTAATAGCACCTTACCCAAAGCTGTGATGATCTGAACATAAAGTTATTGACAAAGCTATACTTTGTCTTAGCAAAGTATGTCCATTCAGAAAACAATATATCATTACACCTCATTTAGAAGAAAAGTCTTCTAAAGGAGGGACATGGACTGCTACCAACAAATCAGCATTCCTAAAAGGTTTACAGTGAGGCTGGGTGTGTGTGTGTAGAGGAAATGAGAAACAAGATATATACCATTGCCATAAGCCCAGTCATCATTGAGCCGATGTCGCACTTTTTGGTAGATTGCGGACATAGTTTTCATGTTGCTTTTCCTCCACTGACGTCCCAGGTACTTTGTCTGCACTTTGAGAAGTTTCAGTACATAGAGTTGCATCATGGCTTGCTTCACTTTCAGGGCTCTCTTTAGAATGGGAGCAGACTTGAAAACTACCAGCATCTGGAAAGGTAAAGTAGCAGATCAGTTACCTAAGGTTACATTGTTGCCTCTGTCATCAACTGTATGCATTGTGGTAAACACCCAATAGTGTCCAGAACATCACACACATCAAATCTATATAGTGATATATAAACATATGGAAATATTCCAGCTTACCATGGTTCTAGAGTGTTTCCACTTTGTTAACTTATTTAGTATCCTAAGAAGATTAATGCAAGAAAACAGGTTCCTCCAGCAAAACTGATTATTGTCTCCAGCTTCCTGTAAGGGAAAGCAAAAATTAGTAGTATTACCAAAACAGAAGACTTAGCAAGAGCCAGCAATGGTAATGGTATTTCTGTGTCTGGTTTTTGGCATGTGACTATCAAAGTAAAATTATAGGCAGTTTTGCTTACCAAACTTTCTGCAGTCAACTCTGGTAGTTCATGTACCACACAATATGGATAATCCAAAACAGAAATGCTGAAACATAAGAATGCCGGAGTGAATTGCAAGTGAAGTAAGATGAGGAAAGTTAACAAGTTAAGGACTGTGTGATCCAATGCTGGCAGAATCAGAACATATCAACTGGTGTGCAACAAAGTAAAGAAAAATATCAATTTTATGGTTAAAGAAAATTAGTATGTTCTACTGATATTAAATTGGCTTTGTATACGCTAATACCTGCTAGAATACTCTGCAGTTCTTATTGGAAAGCAGAAATAATTTCTCCTGTAGAGGATTGGGAAAGTAGGCATCATTCATAACGTCTGGACAATTATGAAGAGTATTTGTGGAGATTAATAAAGTTAATTTCCATTTCTCTCTCAATCATAGTTCGATTTTTTTGTTCAACACATCTCTAAGCTATTTACTACTGACATTTCTTCAGCAGGTCTTTCTCATTAGCATATTATTTATTTATTTATTTATTTAATTTATTTGCCACCCATCTCTCCACAGGAGTCTCTATTCTATGTTTCTGCCTGAAAGCAAAAACCTGGTGGATGACCTATTATTTTAAGGGCTATATATTTAGTACCATACACATACTCTTTTTACATACGCAGTGCTCATCATTCCCACCTACCTATTCTTTGCTGTGATGTATGACATAATGTTCTGATTGAAGAACTTCAATATAAGTGGAATGCAGTTGGCAAACACTAGATGCTGAGCCATGTATTCAAACTAGCGAAGAAAAATAGTACAGAGTATGTTAGAGAAGCAAATTCTTCCACTACCTCATCCCATTTCCAGTGATACTAGCTCACACCAGTACATACTTACTTGATATACATGATTCAGTTTAAAATGCTTGAGCAGCAGCAGCAGAACAGCAGAAATAGCTTTAACAATTATCTCTTTATGCCTATTCACATCAACGCCCAGCTTCATACTCTGTAACACAGTTGTTCTGGAAACCAGAGCAGCAGTATTAACTATGTTAAATGTAATAGTACATATTAAATGTAATAGAACATATATCATAGGCAGACTTTAATTTAAATTATGGTTCAGCTATTATTTGTTTCTAGATACTGCAAAGCCTTTTTTTTGACAATAGGTTAAATGAAAATCCAGTCTATGATTCTACCAGCCCGATGCATTTCACAATAGAAATCTGCTATATACCCTACCACTTTCCGAACATAGTTGGTCAGTTTGTAAGACAACACCAGAACTCCCATTCAAGGAAGGAACACTTGGTGTCTCTATTTTTAGCTTCAAACATGCTTCCTCTTTAACTCAGCTTTTAGTTTTATTTAATATGTTCACCTCCCTCCTTTGAATCTTTCTAAAATGTGGTTCTTTGGGGGGGGGGATAGCAATGTAATAGCACTAACTATAGTATTACTATGTAATGCTGACTAACTTGGCAAGCCATTTTGAACTTACACGTGAAGTGACACCAAAATTCTAAATCAGTAAAACTCTAAATCAGAAATAATGACATCGCTATCTGTTTGGGATCTTCTATCGTCATCCATTACATACACCGCTTGCTTCTGGCTTAGGACTAAGACTTACGGCATCTCCTCTGGCAAAACATCGGCAAGGATGTTGATGGAATCAGTCTTGGCTTTGGAGGTGGGTGCTGCAGCAAGCAGAATCTTCAGCAAGGCAATCTAAAAATCATAGTCAAATGTTGTAGCAAAGACTTTCTGACGTATACATGGATAAGAAGGGAGTTCCTAGATACCAGTGATGGCAGAAAATTAACCTGAAGCTTCAGAAAATAAAAAAATGTATCGCAAAGATATGTTTTATCAAGACAGGAATCTATACAATGCTAAAGGAAGGAGCTAATTTCTGCCACATGAAAATGATGGGGAGAGAGTGCAACATAATTAAGAAACAGAGACAGAAACTCTTTAAAAGAGAATATGCATCCAAACAGACTTCAACTCACCATGTACTGAGGCAGGCTAGGAAGAAGACCCTGGTATAAGATTTCAGCTGGAACTTGCTCAACCTCCTCTTCTCCCTGTTAACACAAGCAGACGATTGCAACATGTTGTTCACTCATAATTCAAAGTCAACCAGCATATTTTGAACATTTCATTTTATATCGGAACAAAGACAAAGCATCACTTTACCCCAAAAGTGTTTTCCAAGGCAGACAACAACAACAGAGCATCTTGACATACAAACAACAGCTACTGGTGTTCATGGGAGATACTGAGTTCTGCGGAAATTCTTGTTTGATGAAGGGAAGAAATGCTTTTTAATCATTTCTCGGTCATTTTTCAGATTATAGCACTAGCAATAGCACTTAGACTTATGTACCGCTTCACAGTGTTTTACAGCCCTCTCTAAGCGTTTTACAGAGTCAGACCCCAACGATCTGGTTCCTCATTTTACTGACCCTGGAAGGATGGAAGGCTGAGTCAACCTTGAGCCGGTGAGGATCGAATTGCTAGCAGGCGGCAGAATTAACCTGCAATACTGCATTCTAATCACTGTGCCACCACTGGCTCTTATCTTGCATGAATGCAAGGGGAAGGAGGAATAAATGATAAAACACATAAAAAATGATAAAACACATAAAAAATGAAGGGCCTAGGTCACACAAAGCATCTGCAGACAACAGAGTCAATGACAAGTCCAATTCTACAACAGATATATTTTCTTCCCCATCATTCTTTTTTTCATACAGATGCCTTTCTTCAATACTAGGCATTCTTCCCAGGACACTTACCCCTGACAAGGGAGAACGCAGATATTCCTCTTCCATCTGAACTTGAATTTCTGCAATAGATGTATACTTGTGCTACAAAGTAACAAGACACAGGAAATTTACTTCACAAGCCTGAATTGACTGAACTGCCAAACACTGTCTCAGAAAGCAGCAACAGCAACAGATAGTATAAAACTGAAAATCAGTTCTCTGTGAAATGTTGTCTAAAGCTCAAAATGAAAAACATGGGCAATGAGAAACTCACCAATTTTAAAGTTTTGATGCTCTCATGAATTGGTCTTGGCAATCCCACTACGGTATTGGTGTCGCTAAAGAGAAAAAGAAAATTTGAAAAAATCAGCTGATAATGTAAAAAATATATATGGTTATTTTGGTAACTTTGCACATAGGAGTCTTAAAATCAATGGCTCTGCAGAAAGACATGCGTTCAACCCAGTATATTATGTAAGAAAAAAAATATAACATTCTGATAAATTTCAGACCTAAATAAAATGGAAAGAAACTATAAAGGGGCTACACAAACACACACACACATTCATATTTTGTTAATATATTTAAATCTCTCTTAACAGAATTATGAGAGTCAGTTTGATGCAGCTGTTAAAAACACAAGCCTAGAAACCAGGAGACTATGGGATCTAGTCCCACTTTAGGCACAAGGCAAGGTGCACGACTGTGGGCCAGTCACACTCTTCCAGCCCCAGTAAAAACAATTAGTTTAGTTTAATGGCCAACATACAAATGAAGCTGCTTTAACTCACCTCCCCAAGGTATAGCCAATAAATTTGCTTCGACTAGATTCCAGAAACATCTCAATATCTTTTTCCCTACAGAAAAGAAACCAAATCAACATTCAATCAAACTTTTAGAGCAGGGATCCCCAATCCCCAGTCCAAGGACTGGCACCGGTCTGTGGCATGCCAGAAACCGGTCTGTGCAAACAAGCGAAGCCCCATCTGCGGAATGCAGGCGGTATATGAAACCACGCCCCCTCTGGTCTGTGGAAAAACCTCTCTACATGGAACCGGTCCCTGGTGCTTTAGAGACTTGTCTAAGCAGGAATCCATTGTGGGGGACTAGCCAATACTGGCTTTAGACATATTTCCAACTCCATATCCAAGATCAGTTGTACATAACACATATATCCTTCTTACTATAATTACCCATCCCTTTAATTCATTGAAAGCAACAGACACTGCATATATCGCAATAGCTCTGTTGTTTATAGTACTTTCAAATATCTTTAAACAGCCTTTGGTGCTATTTGTTTTCCTGATTGAAGATTGTGATTGAGAGATCCTATAGCGATCTTTCATACTCCTAAAATCTGTAAAATTGCTGGTATGTTTTGTTCACCATGTAGCCATGCATCTAGATTATGCTAATCAAGTCTCCTGGAAGTACAATAGGAAATGAATACTGCACAATTCAAGCATCCCCCCAAATCACCAACTATAAAGACTGGCACTGTAATACACAGCCTATTCTCATCATCTAAAGCTCAAGAAGCTGATCTTTAAACTTAAAAAAGGGTTTTCTTCACTTCAACAATCCTGGCTAGGCACTGACCTGACTTTGGGTGCCCAAGGCAAACCTTTTGGACATGTTAGTCGGTCAGTTGGAGGGTGCTGCACAGGAGGAGGCATCACTTCGTCTCTCTCAAGAGGAAATGTCTCCCCCTCGAGACTATTGTCTTCATCGTTCTCCTCTTCATCTTCTCGGGAATCATCAGCTTTGTAAGGATCCCGTTCATTGAACGCATCTAGATTATCCTGTTTAATAAGAGCCTGGAAGAACAAACATTCAATGAGAGGCTGGATAGCTCACCTGTGCCTCAACCCTATTTTGTTTCTACTACTGAACCCTCTGGTTCTTTTTAATATAATTTTATTAAGAATTATAATTACAACAATAAAAATTAATATAAACTAAATTAGAGAAGAAGAACAGATAGAAAGAATAAAAAGTGCAGGAAAAAAAGAAAAGATAAAAAAATACATAAAGAAGTGACTTCCATCCTTCATCACAAGTGTAAATAAATTTAATAACTCTTCATCTCCTGTAAGGTTAAACAGATATTTATCCCATATCAAGTCCCTTATCTATAATCCATAAAATATCAAATTTTCAATCCCAGTGTCAGCAAAAAAACCCATAAAAGATTGCCAAGACATTTAAAAAAAAAGTCTTATTTTTAACCTTGATCAAATAAACCAACTTTATATTCCTTCCTTTTATTTCTAACAGTCTTAATCTTTTATTCAATCAAAAAGTGTTGTAGGACTTGGTTTCTTTTCAAGTCTTCTTTATCCCATTGCTTCAACATGCTTAGTTTCCTTTGCATATCCAGGAAAATGTACTTTTCCAAATTGTTCTCTTGGTCTGTCAGTTGTACTTCCACATTCTGTACTTTTTGTAGTTTGCTAAGATAAAATTTGTTCTACATCTGTCATACCTTCATTATCTTTTGTAATGTAAGCAGACATTATTACTGACAGTGTTGATATTGTAGTTATTAATCTCTGGCTCCATTCTTCAAAAATCTCCTTTACTACTTTTGATGTTATGTTTTGTATCATTTTGTAAGTCCCATTATTAATTGACATAAGCCTTGTGTGTGTTTTTTTCTGCTTAAATTTTTAGTCCCCTCTAATATCCAGTTTCTAAAATCATCACTATGTTTTGTGATGACATGCAATTGCCAAGAGAGCCAAATAAGTCAGTTTCCCTTAAAAAGCTGTTTATTTTTTATATTTAATTCTAAAATCTTATAGTAAAAAATCAATATTCCAAATTTATATGGACTCTCAGTCCATGTATAACTTTCTTAATTTGATAAAAAAAAATCTTTAGCTTTTTGCTATTTATTTCAAATTCTTTCAGTTCTTAAGTTTGTAATTAATATTTCTTTTGTTCAGAGTGGACGATAAACTCACATGATGAAGCCTTCAATCCTGTTATTCTGAAGAACTCTTAACAGCCTTAACAGATAATTTCAGAGATTATCTATTAAAATAGTCAGATTTCAGTGTTGTCTATAAGGTTCTACTGCAGTTATGAGCAAGATGACTGATCCTGACATCTCTAGGCACAAAAACACTATCCTGTGGTCTCCTCATGAGAAGCAGCCATCTGGAGCGTAAGTGGATGATCTCCCATCCTCTCCTTATCCAGAGGGAGCTTCTTCGTCTATGCTGTGGTTGTTGGCTCTGCAAAAGCTTGCAGAAGTCTTTCAGTTCACCATACCTCCCCCAGAAGTTACTAAATCCTACAGTTCTAAAGTTCACCTTGTGTTCCCGTCGACCCCGTTTCTGCTGCTGCTCAATCAAATCTGAAGCCGATGCTGGAGGTGATGCAGCTCTCATGTTGCGGATCACTTTTATGCTATCCTCAGGAAGTGGGGGAAGACCCAGCATCTCTCGTTTCTCTGCTTTCATATCCTGAAGCTCCTCAAACCCTCCAAGGGTACACTGTAAAGGATAGTAAACATACTGAAGTTGTGGTCTTGTAATTTACTCCTCAGATGCCAGTCAGCTAGTGAAGTGTCAAGAGCTTTGTACTTTTTGTGTAATTCTAAAATACTTTTATGATGCGTAGTCTAGTTCAGTTACGTATTGTAGTAATTCGCTTAAAATTAATTTATTGTCCCCAGTGTTCTGATTTTTCTAGACAATTTTAGAAATAACTATGTGTTCCTAAATATGAAGACAATTAAAAATCTGAAATAATGGAAGGGCTGATCTGTTCAGAACTGGTTCCAGAACAACCAACTTCTCTGTCTAAAGAGCTGTAGCTAATTCTCAATCTGCTTCACAATCCCCTTTCCAATTAACTTTTAAAGAATCTTGTATGGGAAGAACCTCCCACCCAAGGATTTAGATTACAGTGTATGCTTTCTGTCTGTTAATGAGCAGAATTCCTGGAAAGGCAGGCAGCCGCTGAAATAAAATATTTAGCAATAATGAAGGAATGAGACTTTCCCTCTGCCCTTAACAGCTCAGCTACAATATGGAAAAGAGCTCTCCAGCAGTCTGGCAAAAATATATTATTGTTTGGAAAATAAAAACTATTACATGGGTAAGTTTTTTGCAACAGTGTGATAGCATTTTCCAGCAGACTGCTGAAGAGATCAGAGGTTCCAGCATGGTGGCTATGGAGAGCTAAGAAGGAAGGTGTTTTTGTTTTTTTTTCTTCCATTCAAATATGTTAGATTCCCAGAGACTGCCTGAACAAGTCCCTGCAATTTCTTTGGCAATGTTTTCCAGAAATGGTTTGCCCTTGCATCCTTTCTACAGTTGAGAGAAAGTGACTGCTAGTTTTGTGCTCATGGTGGGGATTAGAATTTCAGACCTAAGTATGTTCCTTAACTTTATAGTACAATATTGCCATCAGTTTAGCATTGTGCCAATCACCATTCTAAAGCTATTAACAAATTGGTTGTTTTTGTCATTGGGGACATAGTAATTTTGTTTTTATTATTGCATGCCATTTAAGAGTCACATTTTTCAGAGTTGGGTGGCCCAAAAAAATCCTTTATGTAAACAATAAACAACAAACCAATCTGTGTGATCCAGTTTAGATTCTGTATTAGAAGCAACCTGTTAAGGCATCACATATTTGGTAACAGGAGTCTCTTACCAGGACAGTCTTCCAGAGCAGCAGCAAAACTTTCTTCATAGGAAAGTGTGGAGCATGGCCACTGCAGAATTTGGTCACCATGCCAAAAAGCATCACAGAAAATGGCTCGTTGTTATATAGAGGGGCCCCTGAAAAGCAATGTGTTGGTTACATGAAACCCTTGAATTTTTTCATTACGTATTTAAACATCATTTTCTACTGTCAACCCAATAAAGCTTCCAGTTGATTTGCCCTATTTTTTCATAATAATTTTCTGCTCATTCTGTGTTCTTGAACATGGTTTAGTCCAGTTAAATAATAAATTCATATTTGGAATGATGGCATTCATTTAACTCCAATAATGTAATTAATGTAATCATTCTTCATGCATTAGGGTTCATCCTGCTATCCTTATTCTTGATTTATGAGAGCATGCAGCAGCAGCAGCTATATGTGGGAGGTGGTTTTGCATATAGAAGAGAGTGGGACTTGCATCATCACTATACTACTTTCCCCATCTTGCCCACTACAGTGGACACAATAATCCTGGGGACTGGAATGAATCAAGGCCTCGTGGAAAAACATGTCTCCTTATCTGCTTTCTTCACTCTGTTCTCAAATGTGTGAAATATTGTTCCACAGGAAGATAGACGCTAACACCAAAACTCAGAATTGGATGCTTCTATGCTACATATGCAAATCTGGACCTCAGCTCCTCATAAGAAAATTAGGATTAAAAGCAAGCCAGATTTTTAAAAAAAGCCATACGGACTGGCTTCACATATTGTGCAAAGCTATGATGGTCTGATTCTGGTTCAGTGCATTATTTTATCCGCCAGCTATAGTTTATTCAACAAATAACAGTTATTTTATTTATTAAATAAATAATTGACAGTTAGCAAGCAATGGTTTAGATTGATATGAGAAATAGGCTATGGTGTTTAGCTAAATTTCCTTAGATAATTGTTCAAGAAGGTTAAAGCCCAGATTCTGCTGCACATTAAACATGCTTACCTGTAGTAAATCTCCCCTAACTCAATAACACTGATCTGTGAGAAGGCATATGTAAGACTACGCTGTATATTGGGCAGTCTTTAAAGGTGTTCTGGATATACTAGTAGTATAGTAATAGTAGCCTCAGTATTGAAGCTTCAATGATGTCTGAAGGGGGATCAAAATTTCCTGGGACTTTCCTCTTGAAAACTACCAATTAAATTTTGTACATACTCTCCTGAAATCCTATTAGGGAGGAGGAGGGAGAGAAGCTTTGAGGTAATAAATGGCTTTTTCTCTGCACACAGTCCAAATGAGAAGAATGCCTGGTGGGGGAGGGGGGGAGGAGGCTGAGACAAGCAGGGTAGGCAACAATGATAGTGACTGTGTAGGGCAATGGAAAAGGAGAGATGTATTAGAAGCAATCATCTGCTGAGATCTTAGGAATAAACACCTGTCGTATTAACAATATGAGGATGCTGACTCTGACTATCTGGCAGCACCGATTAGCACAAAAGAAAAAAAAAGTTCTTTCTCATATTAGCATGGTTTTTTTCTTACAGCAAAATAATCCTATCTTTTTGAGCAAATGCTACTTAATTAGCTAAATTCTGAATCATGAACAAGAGAAGACATACCTAGCTCAGCTCTGAAGGTCTGTCTCATTGTCTTCCATTCAGGCTTATCTCCTTCACAGTCCTGACGGACAGTCTCCAAAATAAGGTACATAATGTTCAGAAGCACCCTGCAATCAAAGACTGAACAGGTTAGAAGGAGAAATTCCTGACATCACTGTTTGCTTCACTGAAAACTACTTTACAAAACAGTAAGTAAATGAGCCCTCCCTTATAAGGTTTCTATGGATGATATACTGAGGCAAAAAGATGTTGCATTTGAAATAACCAATTTGATGGTAATAGCTAAACATTTTATTTTTGGTCATGTCATTATTTTGAGGATTGCTGTTGCTTAGCAACCTATGCTTTTCTAAGAAAAATACACTCTTTGCAGAAAAGGCTCCTATGCAAACCTAGTGGTAGGGTTTGTTTTAAAAAAACCAGATTGCCTTTTTAAATGGGCAGTGGCTGACAGATGGCTACAATGGATGTAACAATGTCTCTGAAGAAGTCACAGCTTGAATTTGACCCATTCTTTTTATCTAAATAGTGGCAAAAAATTTAACATTAAGTGTGTGAGCTATATAAAGAATGTTGGAGGGTTAAACACAACTATTTCTGTTGGTTTCCCACCAAGAATGCTAGGAAAATAACACCACTTATATTTGGTGGTTTGGGGAGATTCTATGCCTATAAAAATGGGGCTCAGGAGTAGAATTCACTAAGCTGTGTGATTTAAAGCTTTGCAGCATCTTCTGGGAGACTGAACTGTTATAAAGTCATAGTGAATCCACAGATGAGGAGGGAGATATTGACGTATCATACTATACAATATTCACCTTAAGCATGTTCTATCAGCATCTGACCTTATTCTATTTCTCCTCTTCACTGCCCCAATAAAGGCATGCAATACGTTATGTCAAGTTGAAAATCAGTTTTTATTAATAAGAATATATCAATCCAACATGGAGCAAAAAAGGTAAAATATTTCTACCAATACAAGTTATTATAACAAAAAGAAATCTCCGTTTATTGATAGCGCATACTGATAGGCAATTACTCACCTCAAATCCGTGCTGTCAGCCAGGGAGATAGCAGGCTTCCTCACTGCACTGCTACAGGCAGCACTGTTGCTAGAAAAAGAGAAAGAAATTTCTGCTTACTAGATCACACCACCTTCTGAAACTAACATCACATTGGATATTAGACAAGCAATGGCCAGTCTCCCTCTGGGCAAAAAGTGTTTGGGCACTTATGGGGTGCTTGGAGCAGCTCCCCCCCCCGCTTTGCTTCATGGTGGTGGCACCGTGTGGTGAGCTATGCAGTCACAGAAGTAAGCCAGTGGCCACGCGGGCTCCTGCTGGACAGGGCTGTTGATGCCGCCACCACGAGGTGAGGCAATTGTCAGGAAAAAAATAAAACATCCCTGAAAGTAAGACCTACTGCCTCTTTTGTAGGCAAAAATATATATATATAAGACCAGGTCTTATTTTCGGGGAAACATGGTACATTTTTAAAAATTATACTCTGAATATTGTTTCAAATAAGTAATTTTCTATGAAATAGATAAAACTGGATGAATAGATAACAGGTTAAGTTTGGCATCTGTTTCCTTCATAAGTGTCGTAACATGAAACTCACTCAATTTCCATGTTCAAAAGCTCCACCAAAGCGTTAAATGTCCCAACTTCAAGCAGAAGAAAAATGTTGTATCGCATCCAAAACTGAACCTCAGCTTCTGAACTACACTCATCAAATGTGCCTGAAATAAAAATATGATTCATTTCACGAAAGCTTGCCCTTGTTAGATCACACTGAAGAGCAGAGAAACTACAACATTCAAATAATAAAAGAAATGTAAAATAATATTAACACAGAAGTTATGGTATCAATTTTCCAAAAGTATGTGGAATCCCAGCCATTTCAAACCATTTCTAGGACCAAACTGGAAATTGGTTATAGAATTAGGTAATAAAACATGAGGGTTGAGAAGTTTTCATTATACTGACTCCCCATGGACAATATACAGATGAACCTATGTTGAGATTAAAGCAAGATAATGCATCTAGGTTAATTATTATATAATTAACTAGAAATCACATAGAGTTTTACATACAAAAATTGAAGGGTCTTTTTGCACCCAAAGTTGAGGCACAAAGATCAATTTTCACTACTTTAGGCTTATTTAGACTGTATTTCTAGAATCCAGTTCTAACATCTGTGAATAAAAATGAAATTGGTCGAGTAATTCTGTTATTATGCTGAATGGTAGTATAAATTCTTTTATATTTAGGGTAAATACCAATAAATAGGTTTTGCTGATTTTTGTTAGCATTTCTTTATTATTATTGAAAGGAAATATTGGTGTGAAAAAAATTCTTCTAAAATATCATAATTGGTAGGTATTTAAGCCTAAGCAGTTTCTCTGAAAGATACAAGCATACCTTGTGCAACATAGAGGATGGCTCGAGCTACCCTGAGCCTTTTCTCCCGAGCTGTGACCTCAAGGCCATCAAGAAGTCTCATAGCATGAGTACGATGTTGCTTAGTGTCCAGTTCTGTCCACTTTTTATCCAACACTAGAAATACAAGGTATTTGAAATTACAACACAGCTTTGACCCCTTTCTTCAAAAAAGTAACTATTTGCAGCAATAGAAAATATAATGTTGTGCAATAGCCTTTAAAAAGTGGTTGTAATCTTACGTGCTTTCAGTTATTTCCTCCAAGATCTCAAAAGCTTATGTAACATTAATGAAATGTTGCGACATTTTATTTATGAAATTTTGTGACCTTACAAGATTCTGGCCAACTGTAATTAATAAAATTAGATTTTTATTTTAATTTTGGACAGCTTCAGATTTCATTTTATGGTATTATAAGAGCTTATGTTGTTAAACCTTCGGCTAGACTATTTTTAGTGCTATCAACAAAATTTATAATGAGTAAACATGGGCAAAAGCTATGAAGCCAGTTCATCCAAGATCTGACCTGATCTAATTTTACATTATCAAGCTAATGAATATGCCATTCATATTATTGCAAAGTTTTAACATCAAATCAAAACAAGCAAGAAACTTCTATCCCACCCTAAATATTACAGATCACAAAAATCTGTACAAGTTGATAGTTCAGCTTTAGAAATACCAATCCTTTTCACACACACACACAAATCACAATAAGCATTCCATGCTGGTACAGCCATTTTATTTATCTATTTATTTATCTCACTGAATTCTCCAAATTTTGGAGCTTGTTATGATTTATTTAAAACACAAATGTATTAAGATTTTGTTAAAATAAAGTGAAAGATTCATGAAAATGAAAAAAATATACTTGATACTAAAATAATCAACCTTCTGTTATTTCATCCCATTTCAAATACAGCATATATAGACTAAGCCTACAGGACATTTCAAGGAGTGAAAAGTAATTAGTCTTACCATGCAGCCTAAAATCTTCCTCAAAGCATTTTCTATTGAGTTGGAATTCAGGACCTTCAGTATAACTGTACAGTTCTGCAAAGAGGGAACAAAAGCTCATTACTTTATAACACTAGACATTTATTTCAAATAGAAGGGACTCTTGGCAGTTCATTTTATATCAAGTCTATCCATTTTAAGAGTTTAGCTTCAAAGATAACTTGCCATCTTGAACTGCTGTCAAAGTTTAGTTTTACCAAGCTTAATTAGGCTCAGGTAGGGTACATCATCCCAGACAACTCTGTTCAACACCCGACAAGCAAGCAGGAAAAGAAGATTATTCTTTTCAAAGATTATTTGAAAACAGATTTTAAATAAGGTCTTCACATGTTGGTTAACAGCCAAATTTTAATAACAGTTTAGATATTCAGAACTAATTCTTAACTGTGTACTGTTTATATTTCCCTTTTATGGAAGTACTATAAAATAATATTCAAAATTCAAAATAGTATGGTAGAAATCTTTTCTTTTACTGAGAAGACAATCTTAATGAAGTTATGGGGATTCCCCAAACAGCATGGGGTTAAAGAGGAACCTGTTCGGATGATCTCCCACCAGCAATTCACAAGGTATCACAGAATATTGACAAACTGACCACTATTTAGAAAGTTGACTAATATTGAGAAACAGAAACATTTAGCAGTGGTGATTAAGAGCCTTTGCTGAAGTTGAAAAACAAAGAAGATAAGGGACTTGACAGTTTATACAACTTAAACCACACAGGTAGTCCTTGACTTACAATCACAAAGAAGCCCAGAATTAGGCTGTGGCTGCTATAGTTATAGATCAAGGCACCAGATTCAGTATTACAACTGGTTTTCCAACAATCGTAAAGCGATTGATCTTTAAATGAATTACATAGTTGTTAAAGGAATCATGTGGTCATTATGCAAATCCAGCATATTCAATGGGCTTTTGCTGGAAAATGGCAAAAAAATCATGCAGATCACATCATGTGACCATGGGATGCTGCAATCAGTCATAAATACAAGCAGATTGCTAAGTGCCCAAAATGTGATTATGTGACCATGGAGACTGTAGCAGTCATAACTTTGAGGATGGGTTGTAAGTAACTTTTTTTAAAGTCTGTCGTAACTTTGGTGGTGATTAAGCAACCAGTTGTAAGTTGAGGATTACCTGTACAAAAGAAATGACAAATGAAAACTTTCATGTGAATGCTACTTCTTCGCCAAAACTTTATAAAGCGGTCCTCATAAAAAATTATGCAAAATTAACTAGTAACGTGAAGCTGGCAGTGGAAATTAATAGGCTACATTGCATTTCAGGTTCAAAGGAGTGAACGAGCACATTCCTGCTGCACCTGTCAGTCACTCTGAGCTGCACCATGATTCAGGAAATAATGCTTGGTTTACTCAGTTGCTGACAGCTGCTTACAAGCATGCCTAACCTTGTTCACTTTGAATCTGAAGCCTATTGAGCACTACAAATTACAGCAACTGCTTTAACTTTTGTGTTATATGGATATAAGCAAAGGAACTCAAGCAATTCCTGCTTTACCTGAGAGCTCAGCGGTCCACTTGTCGGCATCTGCATATTCAAACTCAAAATCTGGTGATTCTGAATAGCCCTGGAAGAAGAAGCTTAACTCAATTGTTTTCTACAGCTGGTTATTTTTTTTTTAAAATTAAAGAAAACTAAAACCTTCCACATATAGCTTCACTGTTACCATGGTAACTCATATGTACAAAAACGAGTACTTTCACTAGGAGTGGAGCACAGCTCAAAACCCAAAAACCTCCAGTCTTTATTTTTTACTCTCCCCCATGGTGATTTGCTACTTTGCTCAGTCACTTATGCCCCATTTAGGCTTGCCAGAACAAACATCCTCTGCAGGCTCTACGGTGCTACTCTATCCTCAAAACCAAACCCACTAATTTTAATAGGCTATTTCCAGATGAAGACTTTCATTCTTCACCCCCCCTCCCCTTGTAAATTATTCGTACCCAGAGACTGAGGGGAGAGCTATTTTTTTCATTGTATTCCCCCCCCTTTTTTTAGTGTGTTGTTATGCATCTTGATACATTGTCATTTCAGTACAATATTATTTATGATATAACTACAAATTCTTGACATTCTGTTATTTAGATCAGTGTTTCTCAACCTGGGCAACTTTAAGATGGATGGACTTCAACTCCCAGAATTCCCCAGCCAGCTTTGCTGGCTGGGGAATTCTGGGAGTTGAAGTCCATCCATCTTAAAGTTGCCCAGGTTGAGAAACACTGATTTAGATAATGAAGATAGAGCTTTCTTTCTTTTTCTTTTTTTTTTAAGGAAGAGCTCTGTACTGTATTGAAGCAGGTCAGCCTGACAAACAAAACTCTAGTGCGGTGTTTTCCAACCTTGGCATTCTGGGAATTGGAAGTCCGCTCATCTGAAAGTTGCCCGGCTTTGAGAACCCTGTTCTAGGGGCTACCTCAGGGGTAGTCAACCTTGGCTCTTTTATGACTCGTGGACTTCAACTCCCAGAATTCCTGAGCCAGCTATGCTGGCTCAGGAATTCTGGGAGTTGAAGTCCACGAGTCATAAAAGAGCCAAGGTTGACTACCCCTGGGCTACCTGGTCAAGCCTTTCGTCTGAGCGAAGAAAGGCAAAACTCGTGCGGAGGCGGCTGAGGGGCCTTGGAAAGAGAGGCGGAGAACTGATGATAAAAAACCCACGCCCGCGAACAGAACGAGGACTCTCCAACCGATCCCGTTCGCCCTTAGCGACTCAGAGGCCACCGCCAAATCAAGCCACTCCGGCGGCGGGGAGGGCAGCTACCGGCGCCCTGGCATCATCCCCAAAAGGCGGGTGGGCAAGTCCGTGCCGCCTCCCCACCCGCCCGTCCGCTCGCTCCGCCTAACCTCCGAGTCTTTACGCTGGTTACGATTAGGCTCCCGGCCCTTCCCTCCCGCCAGTGGCGGGGGCGTCGTGGTGGTGAGTCCAAGTCCTCCGCTCCGTTGTTTGTTATTGACAATGAGCAAGCCCGGACCGCCGCCGCCGCCGCCCGGCTCCATCACGACGGGCCGGCAGCTCTCGCGTCAATTGAGAGGCGCGGCGCGGGAATCGCAGAGGAAACGTCACCATCTTAAGCGTGGCGGTTGAGGGGCGGCTTTGTCGAGGTGCCATCTTGAGCGTTGCTGCGATCTGTGAAGGTACTGTCGTAGAGACCGCGGAACGAATGCGGAAGTCATCTTGGTTGCCTCGCGCCTAACGCTGACCTGTTTAGACCCTACCCTTCTGTGGTTCGCAGGGCCTTTGAAGTGAAGTCGTTCGCGGGTATCCCGCAGTAGCTTATGAGCGTAGCCAACTAAATCTTTAGACCTGCATGTTCTGCCGAAATTAAGTCGAATTGCAAGATCTGGGTTGCAAGAATCCGAATGACCGTTGGAAGTTAACCCTTGCAATCTCGTGGCCGTGCAGATTTACCTTAAAGTGTTAGTATGCAACAGAAATATAGTAAGGTTGGTCCATGTAGCGCAGTGTTTCTCAACCTTGACAATTTTAAGGCATGTGGACTTCAACTCCCAGAATTCCGCAGCCAGCAATGCTGGCTGTGGAATTCTGGGAGTTGAAGTCCACATGCCTTAAAATTGTCAAGGTTGAGAAACACTGAGATTGTAGCGTTTTTTTAAAAAAAAATACCGTTTATTGTGTTGCTTAAAAATATCTTGTTATAATGACATTTGCCAGGGGAGCGAAGCCTTAGGTCCTGTATAAATTGGGACGGCCACTGTCTGGAGTAAATAAAATCCAAGCCCTCAAATACTTTGGCCACCTAATGAGAAGGAAGGACTCACTGGAGAAGAGCCTAATGCTGGGAAAGATTGAGGGCAATAGAAGAAAGGGACGACAGAGAATGAGGTGGCTGGATGGAGTCACTGAAGCAGTAGGTGTGAGCTTAAATGGACTCCAGAAGATGGTAGAGGACAGGAAGGCCTGGAGGAATGTTGTCCATGGGGTCGCAATTGGTCCGACATGATTTTGCAACGTTTATCCGGGTTTAATACAGTAGCCCTATTAAAATATAACAAGCCGAACACAATTGGTTTTCTAAGTAGGTGAGTATTCAGTGTGAACGTGGTTTTTGAAATTGGGCTGATACACACCAAGAGAAATATACATATATTAGTAGAAAAAGTACTTTCTGATTAAATGTAAAAATGTAAGCCTTTAACGGAGCTCAAAATGTTGTGCCTTTTATTTTGCAGCTATGAAGAATTAATTCATCTGTTAACACCCAATTCAAAATTAAGTGATAAGACATTTTATTAACACTAAGCGTTTATAATATTTCTAGGCAGATGGAAACTTACTGGAAGCTGAACTTTAGGTATACCAGATGATGTAAGTTTTTATTTATTCATGTGTGCTTCTTAAAGGCTGCATTATCAAATTTCAAGTTCCCAAAATGTAGCAATACCATAAAATATGGCTATACAGCTACCTGGATTTGAAAGGTGAAATGTGATTTGTGGGCATCTTTGGGAGAAGATACATTGCTTTACAGTGTTCCTTGACAGTTTTGGAATGTTGCCTGCCAAATCACATTTTGCTCTTCAAATCTATATTACTTCATCATCCTGCTGAATAATCTGTTTCGCTGGCAGCAAAAGAAGCTTGTTTGAAATATAATTTGGGACAATATGGCTGATTTATCTCTTAAAATTTGTCTTCGCCTCCAGCTTTGTCAATAAACTGGTACGTATTTTTAACTACCATGTGCTAGTCTCCAGTTCAAATGTACACTGGAAAAATTCTCTTATAAAATGTACAAAGTGCTACTGGCTGCTACAATATGACTACATCCTGGCTACTGTTTCCTTTTGATAGTTTAAGTTGTTTTCCAATCTGGACAAGTTCCAGGTGTATTAATTTACAGTCCCAGAATTCTTTGCAATAAAATGCTAATTGGAGAATTCTGGGAGTTAAAGTTTTACACATCTGGAAATTGCTTACATACAGAAACATTATTCTGTGTGAACATATTACCACCACTGCTATAATAATATATGTGTAGCATCAAACAAAGGGGTGGTAAATGAAAGCACCAGAGGTTGAATAAAGTCAGTGTGCTGAAGGAATATTTAGAGAAATAGGACTTCAGTCAACTGAGATTTATTTACACCATGGTTACAAAAATACTGCAATTTAAGGAAAATGTTTTTGCAATGTATGTGCTTCCTAATTCTTATGATATTCACACACAGTGGAATAAAAAATGAAGTTGAATACAAGTTACTTCTGCTCAGGTCATGCTTTCTTGTATAGGAGAAAATAACATTCCAAAACATCCACATATTACAATATGCATTATATTGGCTTGTGGAGTAGGAACAGCATTTAGAACATTATACTGAATTTTGAAGCAATACAAAGTGTATACTTACTAGTATTTCTAATGTGGATTCAGCCACAGATAGTGGAGACATGTTAGCAATATATAGCAAAATCCCCAGTTTGAATTAGTACTGCCAGAATGCTAATCAAAACCAAGCCCATATCTTATCATAGACAATCTATTGCTACACTGGCCAGAATCAACCTTGGTTTTATGGCTGCAGTTTTTAAACTTTCTAGTATCAAGTCCTACTCTATTCTTGCTTTTTTAGATTTCCAAGTCATTTCTATTTCTAATTGTTCTGTACCTCTTTTCTTTTTTTTCTCATTAAAGAATTTCCAAAATGTTCATTTATAATTTTGATCTCCATATTCTTTTAGGAATTCGTGTACTTTTTTAGTCTTGCAAAAATTTTAAAAATCTAATATGTAACTCTCAAATACCAAGATCTTCTAGATTTGACTTATTTATCAAATTTTTGTACCACCCATCACTCTTGCATGCCTCTGAAGGCTTTTATAGGTCTTTACAGTTTAAAAACCAAAAGCTGGTTATTAATTTTTCTGGGCCCTAAAATCATCAGAGGCCTGGTGAAAGAACCACTTTAAGAGTAGACCTGTAGTAACAGAATGTTTGCTTCAGATGAATTTGTATGAGGCATTTTACTTTCCCCAGAACTTTCAGATCTTGTTGCATCCTTTAAAATCTGTTAGCCCCCATTTTCATTCTCTGTTCCTTTATTAAGATGAAGCAAATTTGTATGCTGTATCACATTTTCTATATTGTTTATTTCTATAGTTTTAATAAGATAAACTATGTTAACAAATTGTATAACTGAAAGCTAGAGAGTTGAAAGCTAGAGTGGGAAGTTGAAAAAAAAATACCACAGGACTTCAGAAGCTAGCAGTGGGAACTACCTCTATACTGGTGCCAAGAAAACTGGTGCATGTCTTTTTCCATGACATCACCAAGAGCTAAGTTCAACTTAAGGACATTTCATTTTTATTTCTGCTCAGCCAGGTGGCAGCATCTAGCTAACCCAACTGATCTAGAAAATCTAAGCAGGTTAATACTTGGTTAGTATTTGGATGGGAAGGTAGGATGAAATCTAGGGCTGGTAGGTTAAGCTGAGAAGGTAAAATCTTAGGCCATGGCAAGCCGCTTCACTGATAGGGCTGTTAAGTCATCAGGTCAATTGAAAGGCCACTTTAAGAAAAACATTAATGCAACAAACCTGGAAACTTCTCAACAATATCTCAACCTGTACATAGATGATATGGCAAACCTACCCTTTTATCTGAAAAAGCATGACCAGAGGATGATTCAAAGCAATTTTAGGTTAAGTATGAATTTATATTCTTTGTTTTGAACAGCATACTTTTATAGAAGTGAATATTCAAGCAGTATCCAATCTATAAATCTATCTTAGATGAACTTTAATAATTTTCATTAGTTTAAGTTATTCATTGGATCAAGTTATACACTGTATAATAAGACTACTGGCAATAACAAAAAGAACCATGCTGATTAATGAGAATTAGCTTAGATCTACTGCATATGTTTTCTAGATAGATTTAAGCACTGATATTTTCCTTGATGTTTTGTAGTTTCTGAGGCTAGCACAACACAAGTTATTTTTTCCTCACAAAACTTGCTAGGGGAGGAAAGGATAGGTATGCCTCAAGGCAGAAAAATATAGTATATATTCCTCAATCCATACTTCTTTTACTCTGTTCAAAAAAGGATGAATAGGTTGCCAGTTATAAAGAGGTAACGGTAATATGGCATTACTTAAGCAGAAGAAAAGAGTACTGAAGTCAGAGATAGCTTTCTAATCATTTATTCAGACTTTGCGTAATGATTATTGCTCATTTGCAAGGATTATTAATATTGCATTCATTAAAAATCATTCATATACAAAATAAACCTATCCCCATCTGGACTAATGCTATAACATGCTCCCTCTGATTGAACTGAGGTGTTGCTAGGTATGAGAATTTATTTCATGGCTTATACAGAGATGGAGCCCTTAGCTAAGATATTTATCGACATTGCAACATAGAGGCAGAGAAATGGAATGAAAAAGTCCTCCTAAACTTCTGGAGGTCTTTCTGGAATACACTCTGCTGGATTTACCTAATTCAGTTAGAAGAAATTGTAAGAGTGCGGTGAAAAGTAAAAAATAAAATTCAAGATATCATCCCAATGAAATATTTGGAAAAAAAGTATGTTTGTTCAAGCTGGCATTATTGTATGATCAAGAAAACAATAATTTGGCCTGGACATACTTAAAGTCAGATTCTGAAACGGAGGGGACTATGAACATCTCGAGGCAGAGTAAGCTTCTCTACAAAAAGTCAATGTCCAGCATTATTCTGCAAGACTACTAGATGTCACTATGTTACTGCCAAAAAGAAATACTTATCTGGATACTTATTGAGAGAGTCGTTTAGAAATAGAGAGCAAGCATGATGAATGTGCAAATGTTTGGTATCTCAGGGTCGTCGTCAAATTATAAGTGTTTTACTCTCTTCAGTGAAGGACTAACTACCAAAAGGCCTTTATCATACAATAGTGGGGCAAAACCTATGAAGGAGCTAATAATATCTTCAATATTTACATCTAGTTTTCCACAAAGATTACATAAAAAGGCAGGGGGGGGGGGAAATCAAAGTT